GTTAATATTCACCTGGAAACTACAAAGGTCAGCAGATTTTCTAATTCAGTAATCTGCCCAACTGCAACCAGGAATCTTCTGAACATGCTTTTCTCTCATCAGTTCTCTTACTAGTGCTGACCCTTCCCAATCCCCAGAAGATGCAAGTATGTTAGACAATTGTATATAAGCACCTGCATTTTCAGGATCAAGCTGAATGATTTGCTCTGCAGCCGTCTTGCCAATAATCTTGTTTCCATGAGCAATGCAGCCTCTCAATACTGACAACCACATGTTTGCATCAGCCTGAAAAGGCATCCCTTCCATAAGATCCATTGCTTCCTCGAAGCATCCTGCTCGAGCAAAAAGATCAACCATGCAAGAGTAATGTTCACTCCCTGGATCTATATAATAGTTATGTTTCATAGTGTGGAACAGATATCTTCCTTCTTCAACCAGACCACAATGATCACAGGCTGAAAGAACTCCAGTAAAAGTAATGGCAGAAGGTCTGAAACCACAATACCTCATTTCGCTAAAGAGTGTCAATGCTTCATTTCCACATCCATTTGCGGCATACCCCATCAACATTGTGTTCCACGAGACTTCATCACTTTTTACCATTCTATCAAAAACTTTACGCCCTATCTTAACAAAACCACATTTACAATAAAAATCAACGAGGGAGGTAGAAATAATCTCGTCGGAGTCGAGTCCAATGGTAATAGCTTTACCAAAGACCTGCTCACCAAGTTCAAGGGATGATTTGCTGCCACAAGCACTGATAACACTAGCAAAACTAAACTTGTCCGTTTTTAAGTCCAGTTTATTCATCTGACAAAAAACATCCAATGCTTCACTTGGAGACGCATTATGGGTTAAACCAACTAGGATTGAATTCCATGAAATTAAGGTTTTAGTAGGCATCGTATTGAAAATCCATTTGGCATCTTCTATCCTTCCACAATTGGAATACACGGTGATCATAGTATTAAGTAAAACGGTATCATAAGCTTTGAGCTCACTAAACAACTTGCAAGCTTCACAAGGGCTTTGACATTTGGAGTACGCATCAAGCAGAGCACTAGCAACCACTACATCATGAGTAGCCCCAGCTTTAAAACCGTAGGCATGCATTTGCCTAACAAGTTCTACAACGAGTAAACCACTGCCTGCACTCAAAACATTAGCAACAGTAGACACGTCTCCCCTCATACCATTCCTAAGCATTGCCAAGAAAAGATTCACTGCTTCCGTCTCCTCACCGTTGGACACGTAACCTGAAATAATCGAATTCCACAGCACAACACAGGGATCAACCTTACTGTCAAAAACCCTTCTCGCCTCCCTCATTCTGCCAGCGTTTGCATAACCAAATATCAAAGCTGACAAGGAGAATTCATCCACTTCCCTCACGGAACTCATAACGCGAGCAGCACCATCCAAATCACCACACTTGCCATACAAGTTAATCAGCGAACTGCACAAAACCCTGTCAAGCTCCAACCCAAGACCATCAACGAAAACACGTGCGTGGACTTGTTTCCCACAGTTGAGAGCCAATAATTCAGCACAAGCCCCGAGAACGGTGGCCAGCACAAAAGCATCACGATACATTATTTGTGCAGGGTCAGAGTTCATGCTCTTGAAGAGCAAAAGTGCTTTCCCAGGATGCCCATGTCGGGAATAACTATGAATTATGGAATTCCAGACAAGGTGGTTCTTTGAGGGCATTGCATTGAAAAGAGAGTGCGCTAGTTGGAGGTGTCCGGACTTGGCGAATGAGGAAACGACCATGTTCCATGAGAAGTGGGTCTTGTGAGGCATGGCATGGAACAAGTGGAGGGCACTTTGGGTGTGGCCTGAGTTAAGGTGGGCTTGGACGAGGGTGTTCCAGGAGAAAGGGTTTGTGTTGGGCATTTCATCAAACAAGTGGGACGCATCCCGGAGAAAACCGCAGCGAGTATATAGTTGAAGAAGACGGTTTGCGACGGTGACTGAGTAATTCAGAATGCCAGTTTTAAGGAATGCAACGTGGAGTTGCCTGCCTTCATGAATGGAGGAGCAGGACTGAAACGTTCGTGCCAAAACTTGCAATTCCATACCATTGTATTTACATTCTTTGCATAGGAATGGGCTTAACAGGGATACTACGGCGAGCCCTCTGCTGCCGACGCGGAGAAGGAGGAGGAGGAGAAGCCGTGCAAGGTTCGCCTCGAAGAAGGAACCCTCAATGGGATTCGGGTGGCGGCCACGCCGAACTCGTTGAAGCCGATGTTGGTGCCTCGCGGTGCGAAGACTGATGGAAATGCGACCGGGGCTTCTCTCAAATTGCCGCCGCTCGCCACCTATTCAGATATTTATGGGGATTTGATTAGGCAGAAAGAGGGGAACTGTGGGCTTAGTGGTGGCAAACGTGGTTCAGGACATTACCGATGTACCCAGGTTATTTCTTTTTCGTAAAAAAAATATTATTTTTTTTGTGTATTGATTGATTGTGCGATTCTTTGGTTCTATTTCCTCTTCATATGAGTGAAGGAGTTGAGGTCATCTAACATTTTGTTTCACGTAGTGCTATTTGGTACTTTGCACTGGGTTCGTTTTAAAATCTTCTACATTAAATTTATGCCCGTAGAAGTGCGAATATGGGAGGGATTTTGAGAACTGCATGATCACCTTTATTTCTCATGCTCTGAATCGAGGAGACTGTTTTCTGCTTCGTATACTTGTAAACCATTTCCACCCTTACATATGTATTATATTCATCTGTTGGAAAATGGAGTTTATTGACTTCATTTAACATCCCCATGGCCTCTTGAATGTATGCTGTCAAAGCATGTTTGAGTGAGTCAAGTGAAAATAGTGGCAGGCATGACACTGTCTGGACCGAGGGTGAAATTCTTCTACTTTTGGAATCTGTTTTGAAGCATGGGCATGACTAGGAACTTATTTCTCGAAGTGTTCAAACCAAGACTATACTTGATTGTATCTCAAAACTAATTGAGCTTCTTTTTGGAGACCTCGTGTTTGACCCTGCTCACAGAAATGTAAACGTTAGTAGTGCTAATGGCATCGTGTTAACAATGCAAAACAAGTTCCATAATCTTCATCCGACTAGCAAGAAATTTCAAAAACAAAGGACCTACCTCCTAAGCTTACAAATGAAAATGAGCAGAACGGAAATGCTGTGAAGAGAAGTCCTTCCAAAAGACAGCATATTAATCCCGTGTCAGATTCCAGTGGTTCAATAATGAACCAGGTAGTCTTGAATTTCATGTCCTTTTGTTATTTTTCTAATCTGTTGCATTCCCTTTTTGTTGACTCGCTGTGGCGTTATCTTATGTGTAACATTTTTTAATTTTGTGAAAGGCTCATATCATACCTGTTTACAGTGTGTAAATGCCTCTTTTGCCATCTCATCTTTAGTATATATTGAATGTCCAGGAATAAAAAGCATGAAAAAACGTGCATATTGGTTGTAATGTTTGATATTCATTTTAAATAAAGTTGCTTTCGAATCAGTTATTGCTTTCACCTCCTTCAGTATGACCATAGATTTTATATGTATTGCTTAGGTGGGACTGATCTCTAACGTGGTTGACCCTCGTATCACAGCTGCTGCAGCTGATGCTGCTGTTTCAGCTCTGTGTCCAAGGGAGATATTTGACGTTGAAGAAGATTCAGCAAGGTCTGCCCGAAACCTCTTAGTTTATTTTCATTAATGACATTTTGCTGACTAGTAAAATGTCATACTTGTTATTATCTGTGCCAGAGATCTTGAGGGAGAAGGTGGTATTTTGATATTCTTTTGACAATCCTATAATTTCAATTTCATTTTTTGCATACTTAACATGAGCTATAAAACTCGAGGATGTAGTATAAAACAGTTGAGAAAAAGGGAATATGTATAGGGCTGCTTAAAAATAATAAAATACTATAGACACGGAAGTATCAGGTTAAGAATAAAGAATTCAATAAAAGAAAACTAAGAAAAGAGTTAATAACTAAAAACAACAAAACAGTATAAATTTCACTCCCAAATTTTGGAACAATACACTAGAGCATAACAGGCACAACCCTTAGAACCTAAAGACTAAAGCTACAAGTAGAATTAGTAATAAAACCTGTCAACAACATTAAAGCAATGAAGAAAAGTAAAGAATCAAACCAGATAGAAAGAATGATACTTATTTTTAACATTAATTGGACAGCAGAAACATTAGAAATATTACGAGGGAAGTAAAGAAAATGAGGAAAACTTCTCCCTCTTTAAATGTTTACTCAGAAGTTGTCCGGAGACAAGAAAAAGATTGGCGCAAAAACAGAACTACCTTCGCCGCTTGGAAAGGATTATCGGAGAAGGGATTTAGTAGATTTACTTTTCATGGCTCACTCATTAGTCATTTAGTGTTTCCCAAACTCATCTGATGATAAGATACAGGAAACTCTCCACATTCAAGAAAAAAAAAAGAGAGGTCAGTGATAAGAGATGGGATTTATTCTCTCATGTTATCATTTTATAGGTTGAATTACATAAGACCTTCTACATTTCACATTAATTTTTACTAAATAACTTTCAATCTTCACTACTAATTAACTCTCACTAAAACATGAATAATTCACCATCTTAATTTTTTTTATCTTCACATGTAACCATTCAACTATTTAATAAAAAATACAATAAAAATTATAAAGAAAATTATATTCACACCCTTAAGATCACATTATGATCATATTGAACACCCCTAAGCAAAATGGTCCTATTAAACAATTAGTTCTCAGCTTCCTGCTTTACCATCTTGCCGAGAATAATCCACCGTATAGTTAGCAACAAACCTCCTTTCATTGGGGTAATTTTGATTGAGGTAGCAATCATACTTCAGTATGCCAACTGTCAATAACGATCCTTCACATTTCCCAGCAAATAATTTCGTTACGGTTTAGAATTTCAAATCCAGTGAAAAGATTCCTTACGCAATTTATTCTCCAATCGAGAAACAGTTTGTTTCAAAATACGACACTTCTGGTCAATGCCTCTATGTAATATGATTTACTCAAATGAATGTTAAACAACAATCCAAGTATGTCAATCATCCCTCCTTGACGCCATTATCAACTGGCAATGTTGCGATAAAAGCGGAGTTTGTCCTTTCTCTTTGTATATGCTTATTATAACTTGAAACATAAACTTCTCATCGTAAATCTTAAAGCTTGCTACATCCCAGGACAATAGTCCCACGATCATTTTGCTTCAGTAAAAGTGGAGAATGTCTTGCTCACTGCAAGGGCAGAAAGTATCCATGCTCCGGCAGCACACCCATGTATTAACCTGATGGTCATCAATATAGACCTTGATCAGTCATATTCCACTGCATGTATTTGCCATGTGACTTACTGTCTTTATGACAACACCAACATCCTCTGCCCTGGCTGCTACAATGCACGCACCCTAAAGGTTGAAATTAATTAGTATTTGAATGCATTAATTTTTTCTGTAATACATTCTCCCAATCTTGACCACTCATTTTTCTGACAAGCATCAAGAACTCTCTCCAACATAGGAAGTGTGGGCTCAATGGTCATTGTCCTCATAAAATTTTCAAGCTCATGCATGGATCCATGCCGACTGTAGAGTTCAATCATGCAGTTATAATGCTCCAGCCGAGGAAGGACATTGTATTTACTGCTCAGTGAATTGAAGCATTCAGTTCCAAAATCAACTAGGCCTTCTTCAACGCACGCCAGCAGAATGCCCTTTAAGGTCACATGATCTGGCTTGACGCCTTCTGCTTCCATCATCACAAAAAGTTCAAGCGCTTCTTTACCCCTATGATTGTGACAACATCCCAAAATTATGGTGTTCCAAATTATCACATCCCTAGAAACTGCTCCCTTCAGAACCTCAATAGCAGACTCAAGACAACGGCATTTACAGTACATGTAGACCAAAGCAGTTCTCATTATAGTATCTATCTGAAATCCATGTCTAATGATGAATCCATGAATTTGTTTACCGTGGTAAAGGGCAAAGGTATTTGCACAAGCTAACAAAAGGGTTCCAAATGTATATTTGGTTGGTTTTGTCTCCCACTGCATCTCTGAAAACATTGTTAACGCCTGTTCACTTAATTGATGATGGCCATAGCTAGCCAACAAAGCATTCCAAGAAACCCTGTCACGCCACTTACTCATCTGGTTAAACCAAATCTTGGCGCTGTTCAAGTTCCCACACTTACCATACATGTCAAGAAGGGCATTGCTAACCCTAATGTCCAAGTGGAAGCCATGTCTGTAGATGTATCCGTGAATCTGTTTCCCCGTTTCATGATCCGAAATACCCGCAGAAACATTTAACATTAAACCGAGTGTGACATGATCTACATATTTAATCTCATTACGCATGAGATATACAAAATCTAACGCCTCGGACCATTCAAAGCACCGAACATATCCCGCTAACATTGCATTCCATGAAATCACATTCCGTTCAGGCATCTTATCGAAAAGCTTTCTTGCCTCCAAAGTTTTCCCACTATTTGCATACGCCGAAACAATGGAAGTCCAAGACACCAAATCTCTCGAACCAAGCAGATCAAAAACCCGAGAACCATCCTCCAGCTTGTCACACTTGACATACATGTTCAGAAGCGAACTCGAAATAACATTATCATCTTGGAGGCCCAACTTCACAACCACCCCATGAATCTGCATACCCTCCTGGAGTGCAGACAAGCTTGAACACGCAACCAGAGCATTAGAGAAAGTAAAATTCATCGGCTGAACCGCCGTGGAAAACATCCTCGAGAACATGAAAACCGCTTCCCTTGCGTCACCAGCATCAAGATAACGCCTCACGATCACATTCCAAGTGACAGCATTAGGCTGCGGAATCTCATGAAACATCCTGCGAGCATCAATCATAACCCCGCACTTCGCATAGACATCAACAAGTGAACTCCCAAGAATCACATTGCCACAAAAGCCAAACTTTGTGACCAGCCCATGAACCTGTTTGGAAAGAAGAAGCTGAGAACCCGCACCACAAAAAGCAAGAACGCTTGCAAAAGTAACCTCCGAGGGAAAAACGCCGGACCTAGTCATACAGAGGAACAAGGAAAAAGCCTGGTTTGGGAAACCCAATTGGGAGTAAGCAGTAATGAGGGCGTTCCAAGTGCCGCCATCTCGTCTGGGCATTTCGTCGAACAGTTCGCGGGCGTCCCGGAGACAGTGGCATTTGGCGTATGATTCGATGGCGCGGTTTAGGAGGAAGATCGGGGGATTGGGGGAGAAGGTGAGCAAGTGGGACTCGACCTTGCGAGCCTCGACGATGGCGCGGTAGGAGGAACATAGGCGAAAGAATTGAGCATAGAGAGAGTACGGGAAGGGTTCTGGGAAGGCGAAGAGAACAGATGTAGCTTTTCGGATACGACCCGCTTCGAGGTAAGTGAGGATCGTTTGGATCACTGCTTTGGTTTCGGGTGGTTGCCGTGGCTTCAGGTTTTCCTTGCGGAGGAGCTGGTTCAGTACGGAAGCGGCACTCACGCCCATGCACACGATTATCCCTCACAGCTATTCGCCCTTCACTGTATTTATTAGGAACGGGCTTCACGAGGATACTTTTTGCACCACCCAAATGCTTGGGTCCAAAACAAATCGCGGGTTTCGGCCCAAATCATTATTTAAATGAGAGTGTTGTTCCTTCCACTACCACCAAATCCTCCCTGCACCATCCCATATCTAATTTGTCATTCTAATTTCGTCTTCAATGGATATCAACATCCATTTCACCTTCAACGAATGTTGATATCCGTCAACGGATATGGCCTCATCCGTAACCTAAAAACTAAAAAAAAAAAACATAACAGATGTGGTAGATCGTTTAACTAATAATAATATAAAAGTATTATAATAATTAATTAAATAATAATATATAAATTAAATTAATAATAATTATTTTACTAAATAAAATAAAACTAATTTATTTATAATTATGTAATAAATTTTTAAAATAATTAAATAATATTTATATATTAATTTAAAATATAATAAATTAAATAAACTAAAAAAAACTTACGAATGTGATTACGGATGTGGTTACCTCTGTTAACAGATGTGCACATTCGTTGACTTAATAACATAAAAAAATTTATAATAATTAACTAAATAATAATATATAAATTAAATTAATAATAATTATTTTACTAAACAAAATAAAACTAATTAATATATAATTATATAATAAATTTTTAAAAAAAATTAAATAATATTTATATATTAATTTAAAATATAATAAATTAATAAAAAAAAACTTACGAATATGGTCACGATGTAGCACATTCATTTACTTAATAACGTAAATGTTTTTATAATAAATAATTAAATAATAATATATAAATTAAATTAATAATAATTATTTTACTAAAATAAAATAAAACTAGATTATATATAATTATATAATAAATTTTTTAATTAATATTTATATATTAATTTAAAATATAATAAATTAATAAAGTAAAAGAAAATATAAAAAAAACCTTATGGATGTACACATCCGTTTACTTAATAATATAAAAAATATTATAAAAATTAATTAAATAATAATATATAAATTAAATTAATAATAATTATTTTATTAAATAAAATAAAACTAATTTATATGTAATTATATAATAAATTTTTTAAAAAATTAAATAATATTTATATATTAATTTAAAAATATAATAAAATTCAAGGGACATGACACATCCATTAAAGAAAAAAAGTGGAGTGTAAGATATTTTAAATATAAAAAGTAATTTTGAAATAAAAAAGAAAACGTAATGGTGCAGGAAGTAAGGTGGGATGGTGTAGGAAGTAACGCTCTTTAAATGAATAAAAACCATGGATAATAAAAGAAACGCGTGGAAGTAACAAATCCAAATAATTCAACAGAATTTGGCCACAGCAGTCTTCGCGCCACTCGTGGGGATTTTAATTTGTCTCTTTTTGTGGCTTCAGCTTATAAAAACTATGAATAAAGACGTTTTTGACTTTGAAATAGGCTTCTAGATGAGCTGCATCATTTTCTCTAGAACTTTTATTTGTTTAGTATTATTTAGGTGCTAGATTTCTTGGTGCTTGTTTGGTTATGTTTGTTGGCCCTGCCATAAAAAAAAAATTGATGAATGAAAGAGAAGCATGAATAAGATTATTTGTGTTAGTTTATTCTCCCTCGTGATCTCGCCGGTGCTCTGTCTCACGTAGCTACCCTTTTCTTCATCAATATTCATATCTTGAAACACACGTAAGATAGGTATGCACGTTCCTAAAGTCCACGAAGAACATTTTAATTTTTTAAGGTTGTGCTTTGCAACATGTGTAAAAGAGAATAGCGAGGTGAGGAACCAGTTGTCACTTCTAGAAAGCGAATTAATGGAAGAAAATCAGAAAAGGAAATTCAGCATGTTAACGAGATAGTCTCTGAAAATTACTTAGCTAGGGAAGAAGCAACTATAAGAGGCCGTAACCACAGAATATGTTTTACTCACCAGTCATACACGTGTATGACATTCATTCAAAGTAAAACTCCAACCTTAATGAAACAACAAAAGGTGCATGTCATCAGTTGATATAACAACATCATTAAAACATACGAAGAAGATCAAAATATGAGCAAAGTCAAATATTAGCCGTCAGCTTTACGAACCATTATAAATCCTTTGGCTGCGCTGCCGGGGCTGCTGCCGATTCAATATGTTTACTTAAATACTTTTTTCAATTCTCTAATATAATTACAATTTAAATTTTATTTATGTGTGGTTTTATTTGTCTCCTCTTAGATATTGCAAGAAAGTGAAATTTTTTATATATAAAAAAATTAGTACTGTTGAAACGGGTTACTAGATTTCATCAGACTTGGTCTATCATAAGTTAGGTGAACTAATCTAATTTGATTTATTTATTAACGAGTCGGAAAAATTTGAATCTGACCCAACCCACTAGGTTGGTAGATTAAACACTAAATCACTTAGTTATAAGTTTTTTTAAAATAAAAAAATACAATCTTTTTGTAATTTAAATAAATTTCACTTTGATACAATTCAAAATAAAATAAAAAAGTAACATACAACTCAAATATAATCCAAAGTAAGCTTAAAAAGCAAGTAAATAAGTTTATAATATTGATATTTTTTTGTGTTACTAATCCATTTATAAGATTAGAGTCTTAAATGAATAAATTTATAATATTTTGTTCTCTTGAAAATATTCTTTATTTCATAAAAAAAGTGTGAACTAATAATATTGAAATACAAAATAATAAATAATTAAACTAAACTAGGTGGGTTGGTGAGTCAAATTGGCTCACCACGTGGACTGGGTTGAAAATTGACCCGTATCAAAAAATTTCATTTTTTCCAAACCTAACTCGTTCCAAACTTATGCTATATCGAGTTGACCTATAGGTTATAATCCATCTTGACAACACTAAAAAATTGATTAGATATTGCAAGTTAGTAAGAAAGTGAAATTTTTATATATAAAAGAACAATAAATTTAAATATGCTTTTCTATTGAAATACACTTATATTTATAGAGTACCGAAATCTTATATTTTTATTTATGTAATTTAAATAAATAATATAACGGTTAAAAATGTAACATCCCAATTTAGTAATATAAAACTACTAAAATGAACATTACATGGATAATGATATAACAAGCACTAAAGATTTACTATGAATAAAATTATTCACCTGAAAAATAAAAGTACAACCTAAACTGCAAGCTTCACTCCCAACCTCCCGCTGAGTCAACTGAAAGATTGTATCCCTAAGCTCACACCATTAAAGTGATCATCGCAAAAGAGAAACAACACACAACAAACAACACAAAAACAAGGGTAAGCTAGATTTAAAAAGAATTCATACATTGATATAGCATACCACATATACATAAGTATTCATGCAAAATAAACTAGTTCAAAACATCTTAACATGTTATGACTTAGATTTGACTGTTCGGACTTAGAATGATTGTCAAGCTATGGCGGGTTGTGCACTCGTGGTGGCTTCTACTGCTTTGCAAAGTCATTGTCAATGGGTTTCACCCTACCACACTCAGGAGGTTAGTCTGTTTCGGGCCTTGGAGCATACTAGAAGCCTCCAAGACTAAGACCTCCTGCTACTCCTCACGAAATGGATCAATCCTCTCTATGTAATAATGAAAGACCATTGGAGTTTCAGGATAACCCCCAAGATTGAGCTCCTGCATTCATTCTAAAATACTTGAACCTCACCAAGAGCATTCACTTTGGAACTTACTTTGAAACCACATACTTTCACTTTAAATCATAACACTCGACACCACCATGTAACCTCTCCGTGAGGATCATGGAATTACATTCATCAACCATACTTTCAATACATAGATGACCTCAAGAATCAAACCTTATGTATTTCAATTCATATTATTATTCAATTCATACTCCACAACAAGAAGTAGAAACGTATCATTCAAACATTCACATACATTGTACACACTTTAAGAAAACATATAAAATCTTAGTTAAAAAAAATCTGATATTTTCGCTCAACGCATACCATTCGCTAAGCGAATAAAACTAATAGTGCTCCCAGACCTCAACAATTCGCTCCGTGCATACCATTCGCTAAGCGAATAAAACTGACAATGCTCCCAGACCTCAACAATTCGCTCAGCGTATACCATTCGCTAAGCGAAAGTCCTCTGATAGAAACATCCACCTCTACCACCACTCGCTGAGCGAGTGGATTCGCTCAGCAAGTCTGTATAATCTACAACACCAAATTATGCATAATTATGCAACCTATACCATTTTTTACTAATTTTAACTATTTTTTCCAACTTCTAACTCTCCCAGATTGTGTTATACACTTAATTAAACTTAACTAAGTGTGTTTAAACCCTTATACCATCAATCTAAACAAGTAGCTACAAGATCTCAATCAAAAACTCACAAAAGCTCAACTTAGAGACTCAAATTGAATTCTACCACTTGTGGTACAATTTCAAGTAACTTAAAGGCTCTAACAAATCTCAAATGACTTACCAAAACTCTCCAAACTGACCATTTGAGCACATAATCTCTAACTCACGTTTTCACTAGTTCACTTCCTCAGTTTGAGTTCTAGAATCAAGTTGAACTCTACACAATCACCACCACTCACTCCTAACTGAATTTTCTACCAAACAAAGTATTGAACGTGACTCAAACCAATTCATAAGCAACCCAAACTTCATCCAATCAGTTCATCAACCATTTCTCACCATTTCACTACCTTAGACCTTATTTTAGACCAAATAACCAACAACCAAGATTACTCTTTTCCTTTAACAGTTCAATTAGCACAATTCACTTCATCAACATCAATTTCACATCACAAACATACACACAACATATTCCACATGTTTACAACATCCATCAACATACAAAACATGTATTTCACCCAATTACTTAAATTATTACTAACACAAAACAACATTTTTCAGCTAAACAGTTAAATCCTCATATGTCATCAAACTCATACCACATACTTCAATT